ACAAGACAGAATCACCAAGTACATATTCCACCAGTACAAAATTTTTCGGGCTTATGAAAATTTGCTGAGATTTGTTATGTGTAAGCCATGGATTGCTGTAGAATTCCTGGAGAGTGACTTATGATAACAATAGGTCAGATACAAACCAGGAACACGGAAAGTGGAAAAGTGATAACACAGAGACATAGATCTTTAGTTCATGTTCAGTGACATTTTCCCCCTGCTTCACATTCTCAAATAGATGTTTGCAGAGGCAAAACTGTCAGTTATATTAATGTTGTTAGAGAAATCAGAGATGGCACGGATAATGGATGAAAGTGTTCACTGACTTTGTCTATACAACATTTGAATGTATAGCTATTGACTTTCTAGAGATTTCAATTTAAATATATATTTTAAATAAGTTATTCAAATGTATAATATTAATATAGACATTCATATTTACATATCAAATATAATTATATATTTAAAATATATATAGTTGAAAGTATTTCAATATTTAAATGTTTATTCAGTATATAGCTTGGCATAGGGCAGTATAAATTATATTAAACAACTATTACTTTTGGTTTGTAGCATTCAATTTAAAATAAAACAACTGAGTTTAATTCTTTCCATAGAGAATATTAATTGGGCTTAACCCAATTAATTCCTTAGCCTAATTATAGAAAAACAGATTTGACAGATTTTCAACAGAAATTTGCATACTTGAGCCCTTATAATCATTTCAGAGAACTCAGTTTGAGCATTATGATCCTGGTTAATGTTGAGAAATAATCCTATGCCTGCAATCTCGTCTACATTTTGCTACAGCACTTTTGACGATACTATGATTTTTTTGCTTGTTTCATAAGCTATATAAAAATTTCACTCAGGTTTTATTACTCTGTGAAAAACTTTCCCTAATGGTTTAGTAAGCATCCTTTTATAGGATAATTAGGCCGGTGAAACTCATTATGTTTATATACTTGCCCTAACTGTCAAGGAGTCAAGCTCAAAGATCCATGTGCATTTCTAGTTGTTTCCTCAGGTTAGATTCTCCGAATTAAATGTTTCCTTGTCACTACATATCATTCTTGTGTTTTTGCTAAGGTTGTTGAGGTCTCATTGGTAATTAAAATTGTATGCATTGCAGGGTACAAATTAATGATTTTATACACATTATGCAATATTCAACATAAGCCAAGTAACTTGTACAGCACCTCACACAGTTCTATGAGTTTGGAGAAAACATATAAAGGCTTTAGCAGATTTCAAATTTCAAATATACACTGCACTATTGGTAACTGTTGTTACATTGTAGTACATATCCCTGCCTTCCACAAGGGATTTTTAAGTTTTGGATTTTACATTTCTATTTTTATTCAATTTTTCTCTCAGGTATGATAAAGATCAAATTTATTCTTTGGAATATGCACATATGTCTTTCCAAGTTTTTTTATTTAAGAGAATATTCTTTCCTTGTGTGCCTTCTTGGTGTCCTTGTAGAAAATTAGTTCTGATTTTAAGTGTGTGTTTCTTTCTAAATTTTCCATTCTGTTCCGCCGGTGTTTAAAACTATTTTTATGCTTGTACCATATGCCTTTTATGTACACATTACAAAGTTACCTTTATAAACTTCATGTGTGTGTGTGTGTGTGTGTGTGTGTGCATGTATGTTAGATTCACTTGGTCTATATTATTGTTAAATATAGTTGTATCTGCATTGATTTCACATCTAAGTTTCTGTCCATTATTGTAAGTGGAATATTCAACTCCCACACACTATTTTATCACTGTCACTTTCTGTGTTCAGATGGACATATTTAGGTTCTGTAATATTTGGATCTAACTCGGTAATGATTTTTATATCTTACTGTACCATTGACCCTTTTATCATTTTAATTAGTTTATTTATCTCTAGATATTGTTTTAGATTGGAATATATTTTTGTTTTATATAAATTAAACCATTCTTGCTTTTCTTTCGGTTAATTTATGCATGAAATGCTCTGCCTGTTGTTACAATTTGAGCCTGTGTAGTTTTAAATCCATAGGGTTTTCTTTGTGGAGAGTAAAGTGTCTGATTTTTTTTTTAAACATCCGTTTAGCCGCCCTGTACCTTTTAACTTATGAGGTTAATCTATTTTTATATTTCAGGTAATTATTGAAAAGTGAGTACTTACTGTCATTTTGCTACTGCTATTCTGTTTTGAGTTGTTTTCATCTTATTTCTTTTGTTCTTCTCATTTGTCATTTAATTGTTATTTCAAGGCTTGCAAAACGTTTTCTATTTCAAGTTAAAAATAACCTCGTTTCACATTGCTACTCCTCCCACACTCTTTGTGTTCTTGTAGTCAGATTGCTTGTTTATACTGCGTTTTAAAAATGTATTATTAGGGCTAAAAGTAAACTATGCACCACTATTACAGGGTTACACCAGTCTGTATATGACAATTTAGTCACTTTGGGCCTTGACTTTGCCCGTTCCTATGCATTTATCTTCCTCTTTAGTTGCTTGCGGGAGGGGTTTGCCCCTTATCTACGGAAGCTGTGAGGGTTGTCAGTTCTACTGAGGTCCTCTGGAGAACACACCAGAGGGACCCGTGATTACCTTCACAAGGTACTTGCTGATCACCTGCAGCCTTCGGCATTCTTCCTGGTCATCTTCAGACATTTCAGCCATGCTAAATTCCCCAGAACTATGTGGTGTGAAACCAAGCGATGTCCTGTAGGCCCTGCCTAAAAGTTGAGGAGAACTCCCTGCTGCCTGCTCACATTTACCTCGGCAAAACTCTGCGCATTGCTCAGGGAGTTTCTGGCCCTGAGCTAGCAGAGCCAAGGACGAGATGAGGCTGCCTAAAATGAGTCCTCCTCCTTCCCTTTCTATGTGGCTATTATTATTTTTCTTCTCCACTTTCTCATCTTCTTCACTGAACCAATGAGCTCTCTCCCAATAAATTTTATGTGTGAATAGCTGGTTCATTGTGGGCATTTTGTATGAGGATGAAGACTAGGATCTTCTGGTGTGCTATCTTGCTGAAGGGAAGATTTAGTATTTTTTAAAAATTATTTTGCTTTAATTTTTCTATGGGATTATTGTAATTCCAGTTTTATCACACTAGCTTTCAAATTACTTTTCTCACTGTGTAGTAGATTGATCTGATTTAAGAAAACTTGTTTTGATATAGCTATTATTATTTGTATATTTATGCTATTTACATAAGAAGGGAGGAAATTGGAGAGAGCAAGATTTTAAAATGTGGCCTGAGATGGAGCAATAATTTCATTTCGTAGGTCTGGATTGAATTCAAGCTTTATAACGTTAGATACTGCACTCCAAACTGTATTCCAGGAAAAATACAATTCATTCTGTTGTAAAGAACAATCTATTTTTTAAATTCCTTTTCCTGACTTTGTTCTTTCTCCTTTTTTTTCTTAGTTATCAGCTTGATTAGCTTCACAGATGCCTACGAGGTTGGTAAACCACACTTCAGGGTGGGTAGAGGGTGTGATCTTGGAGACCATATCTATAAAGCACCCTTCCCAGTCCTTGTCACGGCCTAGGAGGTTTATATTTGTAATCTCGTGAAAAGTTCTTGGAATTCCAATCTACCACTTCCAGTGCAACCCATGGCAAGAATAAAGACACTAAGGCATATTTGTAGTTATGGGGAGCCAAGGGGTCCACCCACAGTGATGGTCATCCAGAACAAAGGTGTCCACCCAAGGCCCAATCCAGGTTTTATTCATTCATGAAGAGAGTGGCTTGAGCATGAGTGACTGTGAGAACCTTGAGAAGTAGGTGAGTGCCATGAGCTGGCTAGGCAGGAGACGTGAACTCACCTCTGAAAATGCAGAGAGAAGGATATGCAGAAAAAGTACACTTGATCTTAGCCAAAAGACCGAGAAGCAATTTGCAGAAAGAGTAATCTGCATAACACAATTGAGATAGTATCTAATATTTTATGGTCAGTGTTTCAGCTGTGATGTGTAATCTGTTAAGCCCCAAGAAGTCATAGCCTCTCTCCTGAGGCTTGATCCAAGAGGACACTGTGGAGCATTGTCTCACACATCCCGCCTCATCCCAGCTCACTTCTGGGAACAACAGGGACCCAGGGAAACAGCTGCCATCTTCAAAGACTAACATCAGCACCTTGGCTAGAGCAATATGCATTGCTTAAAGCCAATTGAAGGGATAAGAAAAGGGTCCCAGCCAACTCGGTACACATCAATGCATGGAAATGGGGTCAGGCTCAGCCAAAATGGCGGCAATTGCTCCTCTTTCAAGGAGAATCTCCTAGGTGGTCCTCCATACACAGCTGCTCCCCAAACCCTTCCTCTCTGGTTCATTTTTGTGTCTCTCTGCTTCTTGAATGCTATGTGGTTGATAGCTTCCCTCTGGCCTGCTCGTCTGTCCGTTGAGATGTTTTTGCCTTGGAGCCCATTATGCCCTGAATCCTTTAAAGCTGGGAATGAAAATCAACCATTCTTCCCTCCTTTAAATTATAAGCATCATGTATTTTGTTCAAATAATGGAAAACCTACCAATAAATTCCCTTCCTCTCTCCTCCCTTCCCCTTCCTTCCTCTCCTTTGCCTTTCCTTCTGTTCCTTTTTCTTCCTTCCCCTTAACTTCTGTTTTTAACTGTTGCCTTTATTATATATTTTTCTTCTTTCTTTCAGGAAATATTTGTTGAGTAAATATTTATGTTGTATCATCATTGCTCTAGCTGCTGAAAAAAAGAGTCTCAGAGAAAAAAGCCTGAGACTGCATGTATCCAACCGAGAGGAAAAAGTGTTTCTCTCCTCTCATTTCCATATTGAAGGAGGGAAATTAAAAATTAAAAACAACACAATCATATATGCATAAATTTTGTATTTGTAACATATCACAAATAAATCTTCTCTTTTAATACTGAGCTCATTTTTAAGATTTTGCTATTTTTGAATATCTAGGCAAGAAAAGCAAAGTTCACATCTTGCAATAAAAACTCTTACCACATGGAAATATTTAACTTACCACTCTGAATCCTGTGAGATATATGCTTTTAGAATTTTTTTTGTCGTTGTTTTCACGTGACTCCATTCATTTTCCATGTCAAAGTCTAAAGAGTAAAATTTTCAAACATCATGAAATTCTGCTAAGTAACCAACCAAGTACATATTTAATGCTCAGTATGAGGTATTACTTCTGAGAAACCCTGGCAATTGTGGAAAATGTACCTTATCCCATGTTAATGCCCCTAATTGCAGATTCACTATCATTTTGTAGTTATTTATAAGCTCTTAGCTGCTGCCTTTTCTCCCTCTCGTTTTCTTCCTGTTACTCACTTTCTGTCAGAAAGGATAATTTTTAAAATTGTTCCTTCAAAATTTCATCCGGCCTTTGACAGTTCACCTCTAATTTTTAGAGTTCCTCTTAATGGTGATGATGTGTCTTCCAACGTGTTCCCAGGAATATTCAATTTAATGTCATTTTACAATTCAAAAATAAGTGGTCCACTGCACACTTCATTCAGAAAATGATTCAATGCCATTTGTTCATTTATTTATTTCAGTTCTTTTCAGCGTTCAGGACATTACTCAGTGTTCTTAACCTGACCCTTTTAGTCCACTGAATATGGAATAATTGAGATATAGTCAAGCATTTATTTGTGTCCTCTGTGTATTAATTTATCTTCTGTGAGCCTTTCTCATAAATCTCTTTCTGTGGCATTACTTTCTTTCTTCCTTTCTTTCCTCCTCTTTTTTATCTCCTTAACTTTGTTAAAAAATTGAATGCTGAGTAAGAAACATACAGTCATTATAAAATGCTCATTGAATTCTTAGAACCCATATAGTTTTAGGTAGTTTATGCATTTAACTTTTATACTCAGCCTGTGGCATAATGTAATATTTTATATACATTTCACTGCTGTGCAATTTAAACTAGAATTGTAACAAGCATAAGGTAAAGTAATTGGAGAATGGAAAAAAAAGGATTCTGGTTCTAGCAGGACTCCTTTTTGTTGTTAAACTGCTTTGGATTCTGAAGTCATGAGAACTTTAAAGTGTAACGCTATTTGCTTTCAGGACAGTATTTCACTTCATGAAAACACACGATTGTCAGGCAAGCATTGCTATCAGTCCGGTTTTGCAGACGTTTCCCATGAGAATCAGTGAGAGGAACGTCTTGTATGAGTATTAATTAGATAGAATTGGGATTCAACCAGAAGTTTTCTGACTGTAATTTATCCTATTCCTCACACTGCATTGCCACAGTCATCAAGTACATTAGACTAATATTTGGAAAATTGTATATTGCATATTACTTAGAAAAAAAATTATATCAATGTATTCAACAAACAATGTTGAGTATTCAATTTATGGTATTTCCGTAAAGCAGAGGCATAGGGTGATATGTAAACACAGCAGTAAATAAAATATCCTATTAGTTAGATATTCTCTTCTAACTTTAAATTATTTCCATTGTATTCTTTTAAAATCTTGATCATTTCTACTTTGAGAAATCTTGACAGGATTAAAATAGATATATGGCTCCATGGAGGATGTTTCTATAGTAACAGCAAACATATAAAGAAGGAAGCACAAACATGTAGTGTTCCTTTCAAACAAAAAGATATATTTATTCTGTTTATAAACCTAATCTCATGGTGCACTTAGTGCGATGCTGATATTCAGTGTTTTCTAGTTAATATGTCTTAAAAGTCTATATGTTGTTGTTGTTCTTAAAAGGTACTTGACATTTGCATTTTCCATCGTGAAAGGAAAATAAGAGCAAATAAAAGAAACGGTATGTGGACGTGTGGTGGAGCTTTCATACACTTTCGCGCTACTGTTTATCTCTCCTTCCATCACCCACGCACACAATTCCAAAAGAGAATGCATCCAGCAACCTGTTTCTGAGCAAACACTAGGATATTAATGATCACTCCCTCTCACTCTGACAAGATCCTCCAGGTTCTTCCTGTAGAACTTCTGTGTATTTTTGAAAGTAGCTAATATGGACTCACATGGCTCTAAACTCAAATCACTGAGAGTTTATGAGTGATTTTGTAGGCTGATGGTGTTTATATTGATTATATCTGGTACTTTGAGAACAACAGGCTAAAATTTGAAATGGGCATCTTTCTATAATTAGCTTCGTAATGATAGGTCACATTTCTCAGCATGGCTATTATCTAAAAATGTGCCAGGAATGAACAGTGTAATTCACAGGAAATCTAATTTACATTTTATTATCAATAAAAAGTTTCCATATATTATACTGTTATATATTTGCTTCTAAAATAATAATGCTGTCAAGATATTAGTAAAGTCAAAATCATCTTATTTTGTTTAAATTTTTTGCTATGGATTTATCTGGTTATATGGTATTCATGTTATAAGGATTTGAATTTGTCATTTCTCTTTCATTAACAAATTACTTAAAATTTTCTTCAAATGATTTTCCCAGTTGTTTTAGATGCAGAGTCTATGTGCATTACTCTAATTTTTTTTTAATGACAAGTACCTTCTGTGTAACATATTTAAGGCATTTATTTTAGCCTTTGAGATGTGAAGATCCTCCCATATGTTACACCTTGTGTCTAGATGTCCCCCTAAAGCCTCAGGCAGTCATAAGGGGGACTTTTTCAGAAGTGGCTCAATCTACCATATATGATTGATTCATGGTGCAATGTTAGGATTAAGGGTGGGTGATTACTAAATCAGCCAACTGATCAGTTGGGTACCACCCTAATCCCAGTAGCCTGGTACAATGTAAGGTACAGAAAGAGGCTTGTCTTGCCCCCTTATTGCTTTGCTACCTTCTGCCCACTATAAGCTGTTCTCCTTGAAGCCAGACAGGTATGGACTGAAATCTCTATAAACTGTGAGCTAAATAAATCCCTCCTTCAACTTTGGCTGCCAGGTATTTAGTCTCAGCAATGAGAAGCACAACAAAGACATCACGCAAATCCAACTGTCAGAAAGCAAGCATTTCATTTTATGTGGGAGTGTTGCCTGACAGCCTAATGGTTAAATAACATATTTAAACAATTTTACTATATTAAAGAATTTTGTCTAATGTATTTGAGGTTACTTTCTTCCCTAGAATAAATGATATATATTAGAAACTTACAGGGCCTGGGGATTTAGCTCAGCGGCACAGCACCTGCCTGGCAAGTGCAAGGTCATGAGTTCAATTCCCAGTACTGGGAAAAAAAAAAAAAATTAGGGCTGGGGATTTAGCTCAGCGGCAAAGCATCCGCCTGGCAAGCACAAGGTCATGAGTTCGGTTCCCGGTACCGGAGAAAAACCAAAAAAAAAAAAAATTACAGTTGATGTTCATTGCTTAACCTGTCAGTTTTAATTTCAGAAACTACAATGCTCATAAGTCAGTGCTGTACTAGTATAAAACCTGAAAAAGTTAATTTAAACTTGGAGATATGATAGACATGGTGAAATGATAGGAAAACACTCAAGGGTAAAGGGCAACTGGGATGTGGGAAAAGAGAAGGGAAAGAAGGAGAAATTTTGTATGTATGTATATATAGGGTAGTTAACACAGTTGTTCTACTGTCTTCTATTTCTTTGCTGAAAGGAACTGTCAATGAATCCTTGATTGATCAATATTGCATGCCTCTATCTGTTTTCATGAGAAACCACTTTGAAGATATCAATGTGTGATGCAACAAGCATTGTTAATTTCCTCCCACTTTGTTTGTAACTCTGTACTGTCTGTACTGTTCTTTTGCTATTTTGTAAGAGGTTGTCTGTCTGTTAATGTTTTCCTCCTTTTATTTTTAAAATAAAAAAATGTCAGTGCTGTAAGCAAGCATAGCTTTTTACATAGTTTAAACATCAGTTCTGGTTTCTTCAGTTAATAATTCTGTGATTTTATTACCACATTGTACCTAAATGAAGAATGAAAATTAATTATCAATCTTGTATTTCTCATTTAAAAGATTATGGTGGAAAACTCCAGGAAATGTTCCCTATAAATGACATTCCTCTTTAGAAACTTTCACTTAAAGAATTTTTCTCTTGCTGCAAAACTTTGCTTTTTCTTTCAGTATTGAAAACAATTTTTCTCCTGATTGGAAGGAGTCCGTCTTGCTCTGCCTGAAATGTTGATATAAATGGAAGATTTAGCATTTTCTTTTCTACCACTTATCATTTGTATTCCTCCCACTACCCCAAATCGTGTTCGTGTTACAATCTTTCATAATTGGATCTACATAGGTAGAAAATCCTCTACCAGTTACAGAAAAACTAGGTTTTCTATTTCATTGTACAATATTGTCCAACTCTCCATTTGTGATTATTTTTAGAAAGCTGAAATTCACTTTTTAATAGAATACATTTCACTTGATAAAAACTAGAAAAATAATTAATCTAACACCAAAATTTGTACCTTCATCATTTTAAATTAATTTCATAGTTGCAGTAGTAGCAAATTCAGAAAATTCAGAAAGCAAATTCTACTATTAGCTTGTACCAGTGTGTGCCAATTTCTGGACTAGAATTCTTGCAGTCATGCATAAGTTTACGTAGATATGCAAATATTTAAGCACATATTCATTGTCTCAGTTACTTTCTGATGGCTGAAACACAATAGTTAGCACTCACAAGTTAAAGGAGGAAAGGCTGATTTTGTCTACTGGCTTGTAGAGATTTCAGTACAAAATAAGCAGAGAAACAGTACACAGGATAGTGGCAGGAGGCAGAGAGAGAGACCAAAGAACAAGAAATGGCGCTGTGCTTTCCTAGAACCATTTACCGACTTGGAAGGTTGAGATGACTAAAAATGTTCTATATGTCTGGGATCAATGAAAATAAAGCTGATAGTTTTGAGAAGTATGAAATTTGCAAAGATCCTAGTGTCTTTGATTAGGTTAATTTTTGAGAATCTGTTATTTTTGTACAAAACCAATCAATAAATACTCAGAAAAGAGTTGCTTTATCTGGCATGCAGACAGAAAAAAAATGAGTGACGAAAAAAGCAAGAAGGAAATGTGTTCCAAGCAAGGGTACTAGATAAATCTCTATAATGTAACCTTAAAGAAATTGAGATGTATAGCTTAACTGGCATAAAAGACAAAATAATTGTCACACAGATGCTCAAGAAAATCAGGGGAATAACCAATGAACAAAGTGTGAACTTTAACAAAGAAAAAATATTGAAAAATGCCAAATGGAAATTTTGCTGTTGAAATATTACAATGCCTGAACTTGATAATTTGCTACCATGGTTCTACAGCAGAGTATACGAAGCACGAGAAAGGATTAGCAAACTGAAAGATAGGCTATTGGAAATTATACACACGATGAGCCCAAAAGAAAAACAAAGAAACAAACAAAAAACCAGAAAGACTTAAAGAAACTTCAGGTTTTTATAGGACCTGATTTAGGAGAAGACAGTCCTTATGTAAGCCTCAGAAGGAAAACAAAGATGGTTATAAACTCTGATTCAAAGAATGATGAAAATTTCCCTAATATTGAAAATAATGCACAAATAATTCCAGGATGCTGACTGTTCCCACATAAATTGATTCCAAAGTTGTACGCATGAATACGGAATATAATCAGTTTGATAAAAGTGAAAAGAAGACAATTTGAAAAGCAGAAAAGTGGTTTATCATGTCATCAGGAACCTCCTTACATTATCAGTAGATGTTTCCAGGAGGAACCCTACAGTTCGGCAACGTATGTAATAATACATTCAAAGTGATTAAAATTAAAAAATAGAAGTAACTGCAAACAAAAATACCAGCAATACTTTTCTATAAGAGTGAAAGAGAGATAAGACTTTCCCAGGCAACAAAAGCTGAAGTTCATTGCCACTAGACTTTCCTTACCAGAATTTTTTTATGGGACAGTACACTCTGCATGTAGAAATTATTGCTGCACATTTACTTGTGTAAACCAAAATATACATGAGGCATTTGCCACTTTATATGTATTTGTGTAATCTGTACTCATGCTTTACTTCAGATGAAAAATGACCAAAATGTACAAAGTTCTCCTTGTACTTCCTAAGTTAAGTTTTAACCTTTCTGATTTTGGTTACTTAAGTGTGGAATCAGGAATATATTACTAAATTAAAATAACTGTAAATAATAAAAATAATAATAAGAAACATATTTTTAATACATCAGACCTTGGCATATATACAGAATTCCTTTCAGCACTCACCATAAAACCATGAGAAAAGTGTTATTTTGTAGTTTTAAATTTAGAGATGAAGATGTGTACATAATAGCAATTAAATATCTGTTCTAAAATTCTTAGAGCTAGTAAATGACAAAGAATTCTTTTTTTATACTGTACCTTAAAATTTCAAATATAGTATTAAGTAACATGATATATTTATAGTAGTATACGGTTCAGAAATCTTTGGAGTTGCAGTTAGTAGAGTCAATGCTCCAACTCGCACAGGCAAATGGTAGAGATTTTATATTATGTAAAGAAACCATCTAAGACAGGATAGGGCATACCTAGGAATTAACAATGTCTTGGCTGAAACCATAGTCTGGTATCATGTGTCTGTTTATAGTTAATCCTCAAGGGAATTTTCTGCTCACTGTTTGGATCCTTGACCTGTCTTTCTGGCTGAAGTCTCATAATATTGCACCTTGCAGTCCTGCATGAAGCAAATGGCTGGACAGAAGAGAGAAACAGCTCTTCAAATATATGTTTCAGTGTTACCTGTATTTCATTTGTATAAAATTATAGCTGTTTGAAAAACAAACAATAAATGGGTCACAGGAACTGTAAAGAAAGCATTCAAAAAATGTCACATATAATCATTTGCACTGAGTTTAGAAAAAATGCTTTTTTATATCTTATGAATTCCCATTTTTTCACTCCCACCATGTTCTTTTAGTCATTTCTCAGTAAATACTGTGGACATTGTTAATACTTCTACAACTCCCACCATTTGAGGTTTCTCTTATAGACATGCATCTTTAGCTGAAGAATGTACAGGAAATAAAGGGCTTGAACTACTGTATACCTCTGTATACAGAATAAAGTTATGATTTCTCTCTTTTTATTTGTTTAATTTTTGTTTATTTTGAGACAGAGTTTTGCTACGTAGTTCAGGCTGACCTTAAACTCACTGTGTAGTCCTGGCTGTCTCAAAAACATGGTGATCTTCCCATCTCAGCCTCCTGGGTGCTGAGATTCTAGGTGTTTGCCACCATGCCAGGCTGAAGTTGTGATTTTTCTTCCACAGATTTCATTTTCCTTGGAATGAGATGGGGAAAGACACCCATTGGGTAGTAATCACACTAAATAAGGCTCATCCCTCATAACACAGTTATAGATCACCTGTGTATGAATTCCTCCTTGTGTTTGCAGCCAAAGTGTATTTCACATCCATGGCAGCAGGATTGTAAGTGAGGAACTGAAGACAGAATTATCATATGATTGTTTTTCCACTGGTGCTCCAGAGCATGTCCCCACCTGAATATGAATTTCAAATTCTAAATCCAAAGACAAATAAATCTTTTCCTTCCTCATTATCAGAGATTAGGCATGTAGGTTTAGATAATCTACAGCTGACTCCAATGCCCTAGCGATCTGAAGAAATTAATGACTTCTAAAATTAAATCAAAGCAGTGGGGGATGTATTAGAGCCATGATTTCCACATTTTTCCCAAGAAGAAAAATGCATTGGCAGCTCCTAAACACACAGTGACAATCTTGATAAAAGATCAATTTAAAAATAATCTCAGGAGCCATCCTTTAGGAATAATGTTTTCTGAGGTGCTTCAAAATTTCCCCCAAATTATCTAAGCCTTAAAAGAAAAAAATAGTTCCTTCTAAAACATTGCATTCATCTAGGAAAAATTTAGGTTGATGGGGAGTACCTTTCTTCTGTTTAGCATACTTTGGGAATATTTCTGTTTGTTATCATTGGAATTTGGAAATAGAAAATGGTGGAGAAAGATCTGGGTTGTTCCCTCGTTAGTGCAATAATGAATCTGAGCACAAATGCTGTGTTAAATCTTTGTTTTGTTTTCATATGTATCACCTGAGTAGAGATAAAATGTACATCAGTCAGGGAAAAAAAAAATACCCAAAATGCTGAACTTGCTTTTACTATAAGTAGAACCAATTACTTTCCTGGCTATTGTACACACATAAAGGGTATCTGACGCCCAAGAAAGTTGCACATTACAGGCACGAGCTGGTCTCACTTGTAAGACCTAATTACTGTTGTCAGTGTCATTTCTAGGTCATAACTGTGCTTTGTAAGCTGATAATTTTTCCAAACAGCCCTGAGACTGACATTTACAATAATCCTATATAGTTTTCATCAAACTCATAATGCTTTAATAATAATGTAATCTAAATAAGTACATGCCCATACATTTCCAAATCCATTTCCTTTTTTCCCTTAGAGTAACTTTATTTCACATAGAGCCATATTTTTCAACACTGAATTGATTTTCATAATCATTACATCTTTTCTTTATGGGCCAGGGATATACCTCAATAGCATAAGCCTTTGCCTGGAAAGTCTGAGGTCATGAGTTCAATTCCTGGAAAAAAACAAAAACAAAAACAAAAAAATCCTTTTCTTTACAAGGATTTTGCTTTTCTTCAACTTTTGCATATATAAGTATATGTAAAGAAAGCATTAAAAAATGTAGCACATAATCATTTGCATTGAATATATATATGTATATATATATATACATACACAGGCATACATAGACACAATTTCCTCCTTAAAATACAAATATTTCACCAGTGAACTTTAGTTTCACTCATTTAGATGGTCTTCTATCAAGAGTTACTTTAAAAAACTGTTAATATAGTTATTAAAATATACTTTAAGATCAAGAATTTTAAGCAAAATTTCAAATATAATATGTAGGTCTAAGTGTCATTTTTTATTATACATATGCTTATAGTGAGGTTAAGTACATATGCTGTACTTTCTTAGTAAATTATTAATTAATAATTGAATGATATATTGAATATACTGATATCTTTTCTTTTTTTTTTTTTTTTTTTTTGGTTTTTCTCGGGTACTAGGAACCGAACTCACGACCTTGCGCTTGCCAGGCAGGTGCTTTGCCGCTGAGCTAAATCCCCAGCCCCAAATATACTGATATCAATGAGTTCATAATTCAATATTTTTGTATCTTCTAAGGTACATAGTACTATGTATCTTTCAAAGTAAATAATTTCACTTATCCCTATACTGTAAAAAGTTCTGGTAAAAAGAGTACAGTGTAGTTATATTTACTATTTCTGACTACCCTCCTGTCATGTAAATGGTAAAAGATTTCCATGAATTTGGCATAGCCTATATTTAATTAAAACAGTAAAATTACAACTTCAGTGAAATATTTTTCTCGTTATACCATTTAACTTGTTAAGGTGTAGGACAGACTTTAAGATCTCTACTAGAAAAAAAGTTATAACACATTTTTCAGATCTAATACTTTTAAACATAATAAAGTTGAGTAATTGATGGAACTGATTAAGATTCTTCTCAAAAAATGTAAGATATTGATGACATTCAAGTTAACTCTGTTTTAAAAACCTAGAAGTTGTATAGTAGTTAGCTTTCCCATGGATAACACACAATCCCAATATCCACGATTTAAGGTAGAAATGTTAGCTCACAGCCTCAAGAGGTTCAGTCCATAACCATCTAGTTCTAAGGAAGAAAATCCACAGTATAATGATGTGGTAGTGCAAAGACAGAAAACAGACCAAGAAAATAGTGCCATAGTGGAATAGGCAAGGAATCATATATAATACCCAAGGTCAGGACTTACACAGACATACACAGGCATGTGCTCTACTAATCTGCTAGGCTTTTCTGAATCCAGTGAAGTTGACATATCAGGATTAAAGGTCAAAGGGAAAATTTTCCACTCATGAAACCAGGGTGTATTATGGAGCAACACTAATGTTGACATGGAACTGCTGACTCAGAATTAATCAATGGTGCAAAATAGAGATCCTATAAATGGATGACTTTAACAGATAACACAGGTTGCATATCAGGTCCTAGGGGAAAGATGGGGAAGTTGAAAATAAATGGAGCTGGAGAAAAGCAACCTTGAAAAAAGATAGAATCAACTCAAAAATTCATTTTTTGTATACAGACCAATTTCAGATGAGATGAAGTTTTGAAGTTATGAAGTAAGAATAACAACTAACTAACTAGCCAGCCATGAAAATATTGACTAGAAATATAATCAATATTTTAGATACTTTGCAAACTAGAAAAATTCCTTAAAAATAACAGAGTGACTTTGAAAGAAATATTGACATAGGTGAGTATATTTTATTGAGAAAACAACAGAAGGAACCACAATAGAGAAACTTATATTTTACTCTTGGGATATAAATTTCAATATTTTAAAATTGTTCATTTTCTCCAACCACAAACTTATTTACAAAAAGAATGACATCTTTTTGTGTCCTCAATATCTAGTACTGCTTTGCATGAAAAAACAGTGTTTAATGTTTGTCTTTGAAGGGTATTTTCAGATTGTGTGCTTTTATTGTTTGAAAAGACATTAACACCAATCATAAAATGAATTCATTAACTTAATTTGGTTATGAGAGTGATTCATCTTCAAATGGATGTTCTATAAGCCACATAAAATAATTGGACTAAATAATGGGAGAAAAATAATAATTACAGAAGATAACAAAAAATAATAAATGCTGAAAATAAATTCAGGCAATGAGCAGAAATATTAATTAAAAACCCAGTTAAAGGATATCAAAATAAGTATATGTGTCTTGGTTACTTTTCTCTCATTGCTGGGACAAAATACCTGATGCCCAAAATTAAGGAAGGAAAGGTTTATTTCACTTACAGTTTGTGGAGATTTCAGTCCGTACTTGGCAGGTTACAAGGCCGAGTGGCACATGGCAGAGGGCTACAGCTCAGGGCGGCAGAACACAGCAAAGCAACAAGCACACAGCAGGGCGGAATGGGGGAGGAATGGCCTTAAGCACCCTTTTCCTCTCCCTTACATATGCAAACTATTCACCCCAGGGCGGGTGCAGCTCTCACACTCATAATCAAACTCTAAAAGGCTGCCCCATGGCCGCATGAGGCTTTGGGGGGGACACACAGACATAAACCATAACAATATGCTATGGAAGACTATGGCTTATTAGGACATCTCAAAGGTATTTCAACATAATATACAACTTCACATCCAAATACTCAAAATCTGATATACATCTTTATATTTTATTTAGAAATTTACACGTTTATTTTGTCTGTGAGATTGTAGAGAGAGGGAATGAATGTAAAGCTAATATTTTATTATCTGTGAGGACAACTAAATCAATTTCTTGATGTAAGATTCAGTAACATTAATTTCTCCATTTAAGATTTATAAACTTGTATAATTTTTATCTATTTTTTTACTTTATAAACTATTTTATTTTTATATAAAAGTAAATTAATAGATAGGGCTAATAAGTTAAACATACCTTTTGTAAATATGTACTTCAATAAAAATATCAGAAAAATAGATCATTATTTTAGTCATAAGTACTTCATATTTAGATAATTTCCACTTTAATCTCTTCTCACATGAATTTAATCATGACAAACTGGATACTATCTCTAAGCAAATTAAAGTCAATTTGAACATAAAAACATAATATTGCATGCTTGTATTTTGAGTTCAGATGCAGAATAGCATCTTTCTGGGTGGCAGACCTCTCTGAGGTCTTAACTGGCCTTGAATTATCTTTCACAGATGGTCAAGTTGTTAAGCAGATGGCTGCTTCCTTGACCTTTAAAATCTTTGTTTTCCTTTTCCTAATTACCTATGGCTTAAAATGAATCAAATTCTGCATTTTGCATAACTTGCTTTGATATTTCTATCATGTGTCTACTATGAAATACGCAAATGAGCACAGAGTGCATCTAATTATAAATAGAAAATTTTTTTAAAAATACATTTTCTATCTGATAAAGAAATTTAGATTGGAGAAAGGTTTTGGAATTGCAAGAGCTGTGCATCTGCTCATACAGTGTGAGCAAGGGACAGCACTTTTTCTTTTCTCATTTACTTAAACTAAAATTTGCACTTTCACATAGCTGAAAAACTAGGGCCTGGTGAAAGGAAACTGTCATCTACCATAATGAAGAAAGAGAAACCAGTTTACAAAGAGCCCTAATTTGATTTCAGTACGAAGGGGTACTGCAGAGATTGATGTAGGAAATGGGAGATCCAGAATTTTTGCTTCATGGAACACTTGAAACTAGAGAAGATCATGTTTGTTTAGAAACAACATTGCATATATGGACTAAATTAATGGAAGTCCAGCAAGTATGTACTGTATTAATATAAACTGGTATCCTGTGCCAACTTGTTACTGCTTGAAATTGCTCTCCATGCAATATGTGACCATGTGTTAGTCTGTTTAGTTTGCTGTAACAAAGCATCATAGCTGAGTGTCTCATGAGCAAGAAGTTTCTTTCTTACAGTTCTGGAGGCTGAGAAGTCCAAGATCAGGGTGGCAAGTGTATTGTGTCTGGGAAGGGCTTCCTGCCTCTTTCAGAGAGAGCAGTGTCTCTGTGTTTTTTCCACATGAGAGACGCAGTTCTGGTCTCATAAGGGGACACCAGTCACACTTGCGATGGCTCTGCCTTCATGATGTCATCCATTTTCATGGACCCATTTCCTAATATCATCATATTAAGGTCTTAAATTGCAATGTAAGAATTTTTGGTAACCGTACCATCTAATCCACAGGAGACAATAAACACAATGATTAAGAGTTTAGGGGACTTTTAAAATTCTTTTAAGTATAAAAAAAGTTTAATAAAAACTTTAATCACTGTATCATCATTTCACATGGAGAGCCAAAGACATGGCTGTGTTTTATAGTAATCCAATTTACTTCCTAAGACAACAGACTCTGTGCATTCCCCATACAGCATCCAGGTACTCTGAAGATAGGATCTACCACCCTGAACATAATGAGGAATGTAGGGAAACTCTGCAGTAGAAACCCGTTAAAACATTACAGACACAGTGGAATTTGTTTAGAATTAGATTCCACATCATTAGACTATACTGTGTATAACCTCAGGTTTGATTTTTTCTTTACTCATCAGTTAGTTCTGCTTCTTCCACAGTAATTGTTTATATCACCTGCTCCTCATTTTTGCTGTAGTGGACACATGTGAGCTCCTTCTAGCCCTTTCCAAATCATATATGCATCTTCCTCTCCTCCTAGCGAGTGACCCATCAGTGTGATGATTGACAAGTTGTTTTCTCTGCAGACATTCATTATTTACGTTGGCCTACATCTACATGGGGTTTAATCTCTGTCTATTATCTATTTATCTGTCTCTTAACCATCCTTTACATGTTTTCAAACTCATGTACCTTCTTATAGGGTGACTGATTTTCTTTTTATTTTAAAGGGAAAAAAATTAACAAAACAACAACAATGAAGTAAAAAACAAAACAATACAAAAACAATAAAAATGATACATGACCTCAAAACAAATTGATAGGAATTAACAATTTTTCTACATTACATACTGTTATCTTCTAGGAAGTTGCTCAGTCCAGCAGATAGAAGAATGTAAGATTGTTCAGACAAAGACAGTAACAAGCATCATTTCCAATTTTTTTTATTACTTGTGACTGATTTTTTTTACAGTTACATCTCATCTGTATCTTACATGTCTTAAACTTAGTAGCAATAAGTGAACACATTTAACTCCCTAAAGAATTTTCAGGGTCTTTCTTTATTTTTTGTTAGTATGTGTTTGCAATACATAATAATCACATTCATTCATCATGGGGATTTTGAAACTGTACGTGATATATCTTTACTATTTTTCTCAATCCCCTCTTCTCCCTTCAACCTTTCTTCTGCTTCCTATACACAAGAGCTGTTCCCATCTTTCGCTCAATTCTCTCTTTATCATTTTGTTTGGAAAACCCTGTATGATTTGTATTGTTTTTGTGTTCATTCATTCGTTGTTGTCTATGTTTTTGTTGTTTTGATCTTTTTAAATTCTCTTTAAAATTGAAAAGAATTCATTTTCCCTTTTTTTCTTCTCTCTCTTTCTTTTTCTTCCTCTTCTCATTTGAGCAAGTTCATCCCACTTCCTACTAACTGTCTGCCATTTTGCTCTTTATTTACATTTTGGGTTTCTTATACAAGAAAAACAATACAATAGTTAAACTTGCTTGTCTGACTTACTGCACTTAAGATCATGGTGTTGAAAAGCTATCACACCTGTTAATTTAAATGAAAGAACTGCTGACAGTTACAGGGGTGAAAATGATTTTTATGATAGTTATGTTCATACTCAACATATGCTTTTTCAGTCATTTCATGTTTGTTTATTCATTGTTTATTACTGAGGAATAATTACCTTGTCAATAATAATATACTATAGTGTAAAGCTTATTTGGATTTGGAGATTAGATCTTTAGTTGCAATGCTTTAAAAGTGTTCAGTGGGTAATGACTCCTAAATTAAAAGAAGAATATATTATACATATGTTTATCGTATATAGTTTCCTGTCTGTAACATTCTACCTCCAGGTTTAAATTTCCAAATGCCTATGTAATATGTTTTTGTTTTTCAGAAACTCTAGATTTTATAGTCAAATATCTTGATTCTATTCCATAACCTCTTCTCATTTTAGTTATTACATTAAAAAAAAAAAAACAACACATCTCTGCCTCAGGTTAAACTCACAGATAAAAACTTCCTTCTCTTTTCCCATACACACATAATCCAGGATCTCTTTTCTCAAAGCCTCTGATCCATTTCCCACTGTACTCTTTTCATTACGGTTTAAGTCTCTAGTCTATGCAGGGGTC